AATCTATTCAATTTAATTGCATAATGTAAATAACACTTCAAGTAACTAATTCTACAAGAAATTCTAAGCTAACACGCGAAATTAGGTACAATGACCAAAACGCCCCTCGGACCCACATCTCGAAATCGGGTAAATTTTACATTTTCAGAATCCTCACATTCTCACGAGTTCATGCATACCAAAATTATCCAAATCTAAGGTCAAATTCCCAATCAAAAGTCGAATTCTAGGTCTAAAAACTTTCTTCCAACTTTTCCCCAATTTTCATTTCCAATCCGAAATTAAATGATGAAACGAACTATAGATTGATGGAATTGTTACCCAATGATCTCCTCTTCAATTTCGTCTCAAAATTGCCCTTTCCCGAGCTCCAAATCGAATTTCCAACTTTTGAAACTAAACTCTCAAAATTTCCTATTTTCTTCCTAGAAATCCCGCATCTGCGGTCCAACAATCGCATCTGCGACACCGCTTCTACGGTCGGGGAACCACTTCTGCGGTTCTTACTTAGAAACTCCATCTCGCACCTGCGACCCAAAATCCGCATCTACGGTCGCGCAGGTGCGGTTCCTGGCCCCCTTCCTCATTTTCGCTTCTGCGACCACTTAGTCGCTTCTGCAGTGCCGCACCTGCGGTCACACACTCGCAGGTACGGTTATGACAATAAACCAGCAGCTGAAGCTGCAACTCTCAACTCCAAAATCCTTCCGTCAACCATCCGAAATCATCCCGAGGCTCCCGAGACCTCAACCAAAAGCACCAACAAGTCTAATACCACTGTCCAAATTTATACCAATCCTTAAAACACCTAAAATAACATCAAAACGATGAATCAACCACGGATTCAAGCCTAAGAACTCCAAAACTTTAGAAATACATTTCCGATCAAAAAGTCTATCAAACCCCGCCCGAATGACCTGAAATTTTGCACACACATCACATGCAATGCTACTGAGCTACTCCAACTTCTAGAATTCCATTCCGACCCTCGGATCAAAATCTCACTATCGAACCGAAAACTTCAAAATTCGACCTTTCGGCATTTCAAGCCTAAATTAGCTATGGACCTCCAAAACACAATCCGAACACGCCCCTAAGCCCGAAATCATCCAACGGAGCTAACGGAACCATTAGATTTCCATTTCGAGACTCTCTTCATACTGCTCCGACTAGGGTCAAATTTCCAACACTTAAGCTCTCATTTTAGGGACTAAGTGTCCCAAAACTCTCCGAAACTCAAAACCGAACATCTCGATAAATCAAAATAGCATAAATAAATACGGAAAAAGTAGTTAATAGGGGATCAGGGCGTAAATTCTTAAGACGACCGACCGGGTCATCACAATACTATTTTTGACCAACTTGACCAATTTACTCAAATTTCAAGCCAAAAAAATAATTTTGAGAAATAAAAAATTTTCTTCTCAAAAGATGTAAAACCCGCCGATAAAATATTTGTCCTCACATCCTTTAATATGGTGGAAGGTAAATCTTTTGAAAAATATTTAGGATTCCCAATCTTTAATGCGAAACCCACAAAGTAGGATTTCAATTTATTATTGACACTTTCAAAAACAGACAAGCAGAATGGAAAACAAACCATCCTTCACTAGCATGGCGTACCACTCTTATAAAAGCAACTCTTAATTCCATCCCCAATCATATAATTCAATTTGTAGCTCTCCCCAATTATGTAATCACTCGGTTATAATCCTTTCAAAAGAAATTTCTTTGGGGTACAATAGCTAAAAAAACTCCATTTATTAAAATGGGACTATGTAACTAACTCAAAAGAACACGGGGGGCTAGGAATCCAAAAACTTAAGGAAACAAATAATGCCTTACTTGCAAGTACAACGTGGAAATTATTCCATAACCCTCAAACCCTTTGGTCTTCGATCCTTATATCTAAATATATAACCACTAATAAAAGCCCATTGGCAAGAACTTCAACATTATGGAAGCACATTACTACTGGATGACAGGTGCGTCAAAAAGGGCTAGTTTGGCTTATCACACAAGACACCCTCGTAAAATTTTGGACTGACAATTGGTTAGCCCCAAACATGAATATTCGCGCACTAATTGAGGAACCTCTACAACATAATGAAGACCAATTAAAATCAAAGAGGCACTCTCTATTATTAATGGTCAATCCTCAACCATCTCTTTTGAGCTACGAACCAGCCACTAGGGATAAAATCACTAGTGCTTATATGCATTTTAATTCCCCTCGTTCAGATAGCATAATTTGGGGGCATACACCAATGAGCCAATTCACAATTAATTCATGCTACAAAGCACTCACACATTCCAATTTCCTTCCAAACATTCACGGCTGGATCTGGCGTCTACATTTACCACCAAAAATTAAATTATTTCTTTGGTTAATAAGCCATAACCGTCTTTCAACTAACTCCTACTTACATAGACTTGGAATCCTCTCTTCCAACCTATGTGTGCTCTGTCAAGTGCATGAAGAAACAATTAGTCACATTCTATTCAATTGCACTAATGCAAGACACTGTTGGCATGCTATGAGATTAATGAGTTTCATACAAAATATTAAGCAGGGAACACTTCCTAGCTATACATGTCTTAGAAAACTTATTCAATCACATAGTTTTACCACTCACAGTTCCATATCTCATCAAATACTACTCCCCTTCACTTTATGGCAGTTGTGGAACATTAGAAATAAGAACATCTTCGAAAATTCCAAATGTACACCCGACGTTAATTCTATAAATCAACTTGCAACCAATATTTTTACCTAACCAATAGCTCCACACACAAAAAAATTGTTACCAGTGTATATCAAGTGGGAACCTCCACCAATAGGTTATTTCAAATTAACACGGACGGGACAGTCAAAGCGTCAACTACTAATACTGGGTTGGGGGGAGGGGAGGGGAGGGGGAGATATTCAGAGATACAAATGAGGATTGGGTGATGGGATATGCGGGAAACCATCCCACAACAAATGTCACTAATATAGAACTCATGGTGCTGCTTCGAGGATTACAACTAGCAACAACTCACAACCTCACGCTAGGGGTGTGCATTCGAATCGATTATTTGTTATCGGTTTATCGATTTCGATTTCAAAATCTTTCTTATCGAGTTATCGATTTTGATTTTGTCCTCTTCGGTTATCGGTTTATCGATAAACCGATAAGATATACTAAAAAAACAAATATACCCTTATTCTATAATACCTTTTCCTTTACCCTAAGTCCATAACCCTATTATTTCCTCTACCCATTATTTTGGTTCCAATAAGAAAAAGAAAAAGAAAAAGGAAAGAAAATTAACTGGAGACAGTGTGGACAAGATGAATGGTATCGACGAAACGGCAAATATGAGTGACAGCCCAATCAAAAGCGTGCTTGCTGTTAGGACCGTGATCAATAGCGATGACTATGTCCCGTCCACGGTGGCCCTATCCTGTTTCTCTCTTCAATTCATGCGGCGACACCACTGGTATGAGCGACGGAAGCTTCACTTCTCTCCAGTTGTACTCTTCTTCCTCCATTAGCGTTTCCATTAATTATTGATTTCTTCTAATTATTGATAATGTACAGGGTATTTGGAATTTGAAAGAGTTGTTCTAATTGGGAGAGAGAGTTTTTGAAAGGTATAAATAGAAGAAGGGTGGCGAATGAAATTTGAGTTTGTTATAGGTTTCTTATTGGTGTAATCGATAACCGAATCGATAAGCCCCAAAAATCGATAAATCGAAATCGAAAAAATCGAAACCTTATTGAAACGATAACGATAAACATATGTATAAATCGATAATCGATAAGTAATTATCGATAAGGATCAAAATCGAAACGATATCGAATGCACACCCCGACCTCACACCATTGCAAATCCACACGGACGTGAAAGAGGTAATTACCATGCTTAATAGTACATACATAATGCATTCACACTTGCTTAATGATTGTAGATCCCTGATCGAGACATTGAGTAATACGGCCATAGTCCACACTTATTAGGGACTGAACACAGTAGCTGACAAACTAGCACATTCTGAAATGGAACTGATGGGCAGCAATATCACCTTTTTGCCAACCCCACCAAAATTTCTACTGGAAGACCTTCTTGAAGGCAAACGGGGATGCTGCAGACTTAGGCATATTCCTACAACAAATCCTACAATAAGAGAATCACAAGTAGCTTTTTGTAACTCTTTTGATGTAGCTTCTGGTAGTAACAACACACAAACACTTTTTTTGTAATAGAGCAGTCGCTCAACATGACGCTCATCATCCACCTACTAACAACAATAGTAGTAATGTTCCAATTTTTTGTATAATTGCGTCTTTGCAAATGCTCCCTGTATTTCATTGTTAATTAATAGAATGCAGTCTTTTAAATAAAAAAAAAGTCATACCTTTTCTATCTACAAACTTATAAGTATCTCATCTCTTTGTGCCATTATTATTAACTTATTTTAAATATATTTTCTCGATCAACAAAATTATTCAAATATTCGTAAATAACTTTTTGCTTCAAAGCCTTTGGGCCCAACTTTTTGCTTTTTGACTTGTTTTAAGCAAGTTTTTAACTTATTAAGCACTATTTAACTTTGCCAAATACTAAAAGAAACTTAAAAACTAATTTGACTAGTGTAAAATCCAATCCAAATACCCTCTAGTCTAATTCATTACTCTACAGAAAATTGGACAATTTTAGAAGTAAATTACTCTCTCTGTTTCAATTTTGATGAGCTAGTTTTCTTTTTAGTACGTTTCAAAATAAATGATATATTTTTAAATTTAAAAATAATTAAATTTTAAACTCTTTATTATACCCATTTTATTTTTAATGAAAAACTTTAATAAAAGTTTTTTTTTAAATTCGTCAAACTATCCCATTTAAATTGAAATGGAGGTATTATTAATTAAAAAGTAGTCAGACAGAACCGTAACAGAAGCTTTTTAAACACTGATATATTAAAGATGGAGCTTGTCAGAAAAGAAAAGAATAAACAAAGAAAAGTAAAATCTGGAGTAGCGATATAAGTTTTTTTCCTCGATGAATAATGAACAGTGAACACTCCAATAGTCCCAGTTAACTCTCAGGCCTCAGCTATGGCTCTCAGTTTCCAACTGTATATGCTTTAGAAAATAGAAAGAAAAAGCCTCGGATTCTCTTCACTCTACTTTATAACCTACTACTACAATCTCTAGGGTTTTGCTTCTTCCAATTTCCTTCAAATGGAGATTCGTTTCACCGCTTTTGTACTGACGGCGGCGTTGATGCTCTCCGTTGAGCTCTCCGCCGGCGGAACCTTCTCGTCGAGGTTGATTCACGGCTACTCCGACGAAGCGATGTCGTTTTGGGCATCTAAAGGGAAGAGCGTGACGTGTCCGAAGCGCGAAAGTGTGGAGCGCATGAGGTTGCTTCTTAGCAATGATTTGAAGCGCCAGAGATTAAAGCTTGGCTCGCAGAAACAACTCTTGTTTCCTTCTGAAGGAAGCAAAACTCATTTCTACGGCAACGACTTGAGTTGGTTAGTACTACTATTACTACTGAAAATATAAACTATTGCAGAAAGTATCTCTGTTTAATACTATCAGTTTACGAGATTTGTTAAAATTGAAGCTTAAAATGCACTTTTAAAATAATGAAGCTTAAAATGCGCAATGTTGTAACGGATTTTGAGTGTTCTTTTTTTTTTTTTTTGGATATTTCCTGTTGCATCTACGGAGTCAATTGTTTTGCGTTATGATTTATACGTATACTGAAATCAAGTTCAGTTTTTGTTTTATTTTGTTTTTGTTTTAGTGTTTACTTTTTAGCAGGTTAAATTGGAGATTTTTTACTCTTAATCTGTGAAGAGTGTAAAGTTCTGATTAATTTCTGTTTTAACCTTTTGCTTTATAAGAGTTACTTATAGTCTCGAGGAGTCATTTTAGCAGTGTTAAAAATAGCGTGAAGCGAGGAAAAACGACAACCCCCATTTCACGAAAACGAGAAGCGAGAAGCGAAGCGCCCGCTTTTTTTAAGTGAAGCGAAATTTTTAAAAAAAGAAATTAAAATAAATAATTGGGCAGAAACTGGGCAGAATTTTTCTGAAAAAAATTCGCCAGCATTTCGGCACTTTTTGGACTTTTAGAAAGAAAAAGTAAAAGAAGAAGAAGAAGAAGAAGAATGAAAATAAATCTGGAAAACATACATGTTGAAACTAAGTTGTTGTTGTACTACTGAAGTCTTGAAGAAGAAGAAAAAGAACCCTAGTTTGCTTGAACAAATCGCTGGTTTGAAGAACCCTAGTTTGCTACTAAGGAAGTCGAAGAAGTGCTAAAACAGAAACAACGATTTGGGTCTTTTAATTGAAAAAAGACTTTGGGTCTTTTAATTGAAAAATCGTCCGCTTCGATCGCTTCTGGGCGCTTCACCGCTTCTCGCTTTTTAGAGAGAAGCGGCCGCTTATGCATACCTGAGCCGCTTTTAACACTGGTAGCGATACCCCTCCCGCTCCGCTTCGCTTCTCGCTTAAAGCGAGGAAGCACCCGCTTTTTTTAACACTGCATTTTAGTGCTTAAGAGCACAATTCGAATGCAATTCACGATATCGGATCAAAGTGACCTCATAGCTGAACGCAAACCATGGAATGTTTTTTCCAACGGTGCAATTAGTTGTGGTCCTTTTGGAAGGTTTTATATCCTGGTGTTGCTGCCACCTTGAATGAATACTCTTCTTGATTGCCTATGGTTGTAGTATTGAAATGACACAAATTGGTCATCTGTTTTTTCTTCAAGCCTCAGTCTTTTTCATAAGTGTCAAGCCTTATAGTCATTCGGCCTTAGAAATCTTAAGAGATTTCCTTTCCCTTTCATTGTTGTAGTTGGCTCTTATTTCAGGAGTCTTAAAAATTCACAGCCCCTATATGATGGAATAAGAAAAAGCTACGTGGAAAATAAATCGGTAAGTTTTGTATAATATAGCATATATGCTTAACCGAAAACACAGAAACCTTGACAATTCAAATATAAGTAATAATATCAGGCAAAGGAAAAAGGGAAACAAGAAGAAAAGTGGAAGTACTGTATATAGCATGAAACTTTTTGTAGTGATCTAATTAAGTCTCTTGATTGTTCTGGATTACTATCATTCAGGCTGCATTATGCGTGGATTGATATAGGGACGCCAAATGCATCATTTCTTGTCGCTTTGGATGCTGGAAGCGATCTGCTCTGGGTCCCTTGTGATTGTGTACAATGTGCTCCGTTGTCTTCAAGCTACTACTCAATGTTGGTAGGGTGCCACAACTAAATTCTGCGTTTGACTGTTTATCCTTACTGGTAATATTTGACCTTTCTTTTATTTCAAAATATAAGTTGTAGTTCTGAAAGTACTATCAATGCAATTCCACGAAAGTCATCTTCACTTATAGTGGGACCACTAAATATTATAATGTCCTCAATTTAATTTGATGTAGTTACTCTAAAGAAAGATTTATAAACGTATAACCATCTTACAACATTATTTGACGCCCTGCAATTTTTCTGTCCAAGTTAAAATTACTCATGCACTTGATGCTTTGTGCAACCTCAAGGTCCAAGCTGTTCCAGTAACTTCTAAGTTACTGCTATATCCTGATATATTATCTTTGAAACCTCAACTTTTTCATTCTGAAAGAAATATGTTTTCTTTTAAAGATATGCCAACCAGTAAAGATTTACTAATAATTTTGGATTTTGTTGTATTTCACAGCTTCTATTGTTCCACTGAAAAACTTTTTCTGTTTAAGTAAAACAGTTTTACTTTAAGATAAGGATGATTCGAGGTGTAGTAATTTATTTCCTGTATTTCACAATCTTATACCGATCCGGGCATGTATTTCTTTGGCTGGTTTATCTCGTGCTGAACAAGTAGAAGTGTCATTTTCACTTTTTCTTGGGTATGTACTCCTTATAGAAAAAAAATAAAAATTCTTGGGTATCTTTTGAAACTCAATCTGAGGAATGCACTGGAACATTTTGTTGAAGTAACATACGCAATTTTTTATTATCATTTTGTTGTACTTTTTTTCCTGGGGTGAATGGTTCAAAGTTTAAGTTCCCTTTGTGGCTTCTCCCTTTTTCTTCTTTGTGAAATGAATATTTCTTCTTGAATATTTCGTCTTCTATCATGTCTTTTTCCTTATGAACTTTGTCTTGAATTCCTAGTACAGTTGAATTAATTAACGCCTTATCAATGAAGCATTTAGAAGTGATAGTGTATCTCTCTTGGGAACAGTTTTAGCAGTTAATTCTCCAATGATTGATTGGCAGGTGCTCCCTTGTATTTGGGGCATCTATTGTGCAGGATAAAGATCTGAACGAGTATAGCCCAGCACGATCAAACACTAGCAAGCATCTATCTTGCAGCCATCGATTATGTGAACTGGGTCCTAACTGCCAGAGTCCAAAGGAACGATGCCCTTACACTGTTAACTATTATTCTGAAAATACATCAAGTTCGGGTTTTCTTTTTGAGGACAAATTGCATTTGACTTCAGTTGGTGGTCATGAACATCAAGGTTCTGTGCTAGCTTCTATCGTTATTGGGTATGCTTATTCAATTTTTATTTTCCCAGTTCTGTATTCTTACAAGTAACACCAGCTTAACAGATTTGTGACGTTGAGAGACCTATTTTATGAGTTCCTTACGAGTGAGTTTGTAGGTGCCTTAGCGAAGTGTAGCAAGGGATTCTCCACAGAGAAGATTTGGCCCTTGAACCTTGAAATTTTCTGAGCTAACTGTTAAATTTTGGCTATTTGATTAGTGGTCAAGCTGCTAGCTGTCAAGTTACAGTATTTACCGGTTGGTTGATGAATATGCTTTTCTTTTTCCTATTATCTAATTGCAGGTGTGGTAGCAAACAAAGTGGCAGTTATTTGAATGGAGCTGCTCCAGATGGGGTGATGGGATTAGGGCCAGGAGAAATTTCTGTTCCAAGTTTGCTGGCGAAGTCTGGATTTCTTCCACATTCATTCTCATTGTGTTTTGACAAGACTAATTCTGGCACAATTTTCTTTGGTGATCAAGGGCCTGAAAATCAAAGACTAAGTTCATTTGTATCTTTGGATGGGAATTAGTATGTATCTCCTCTATCCTTTTGTGCTATGTTTAGCTTGATAGCCAAACAACTTCTTTTGCGCAATTATCTTATGTTCCTAATTGTAATTTGTACCAGCAATACCTATATTGTTGAAGTCCAACGTTATTGTTTTGGGGGTACCTGTCTAAAGCAAAGCGGATTTCAAGCCTTAGTTGATAGTGGGTCTTCCTTCACTTATCTCCCTTCCGAAATCTTTCCAAAAGTAGTAACTGAGGTACAAGTGTCATTTTTTTCTTGCCCTTGTTCCATGTTTCCTCTTGGTTTCACAAGTTACTATTCTGCTTAGTTTTAGAACACGCAATCAGTTTTTTGTTGTACCTGAGTTATTTCCTGTTTCTTTTCTTCTAGTTTGAAGAGCAAATAAATGCTACAAGGTTAGCTACAGAAGATTTTCCTTACTGCTATAAGGCTAGGTAAAGTCTGCTTTCCGGAAGATGCTGGTTTTAGTTTTATCTACTTGTAGGTTATATCCTTCTCTTTTTATGCAGTTCACGAGGTTTACCAAACATTCCTAGCATGAAACTTGTGTTAGCTGCTAACCAGAGCTTTGTAATTCAGAACCCCGTGTTTACCATCTCCAGTGATCAGGTCAGTATTGGATTTTCTTTGCTTTGCCATCGGCCTGCAAATCGATCTTCTTCTTCTTCTTCTTCTTCTTCTTCTTCTTCTCTCTCTCTCTCTCTTTGAGGGGTGGAAGATGTGGCTCATGCATGCATACTCTCTGAAGCATATAACTTTTGGTAGAGATGCTTGAAGCATAAAACTTAAGGAGAACGAGTCACTGCAAGAAAGGATCCGCAGTTTTGTTATGAGTGGTTAGTGATGGTGAACAGATAGGAACCATGACAGCCCAATATTTAAGAAAATTTCTGCTGGAACTGTGTAAATTAGCTATATAAAATTGCAATAGATTTCCTATAGAACTCCAATCCCTCAAAGAAGTTTTTCTGTAGCCACTCTGCTTTTAGTCCTCATCATATCTCCTTTTGAAATTAGTTCTAAAGATTTCTATTAGTGTTGTCATAGTGGCTACTGGCTACAAGGTCATTTTGGTTCTGTAATAGTTTCCATTCACTAGTTATTGCAGTTGTATGTTCTGCAAACTTCTATGTTCAGGAGCGAATGCTCTCTACGTGCAAAGATGAAATGATGGCTAAATGCCCCTGTACTTAGTTTACATTGGTTTTAGTTTTACTGCTATGAACATACATGTTACCCTGCTGCCTTTGCGTGCTTAAACAAGATATTTCCAATTCCTTTACGATAAAACAAGTGTGGTTTCTCAATAGGTTTCCCATTGTGTGACCGATTTCCTCGGAAACTGGATTTGCAAGTTCATTGTTCCCTCTCATGTGTACTTTGTTCTGTAGTTTTGATAGTGATGGTTTCTCATAGAAGGTATTTTGTGCAGGGCGATAACTTTTATTGTGTAGGTATCCTACCTATTGAGGGAATGATTGGTATCATTGGACGTAAGTGGATTATATGATTTTAAACTCGTTTTAAGATGCACATTCATAAATGTTTAAGGTTTGGATGAACTATGCAATTACATTTGAGTTATGCTGTGCAGAAAACCTTATGGAGGGATATCGAATGGTGTTTGATTGGGAAAACATGAAGTTGGGTTGGTCTCACACCAAGTGTAAGCTCATTTTGCATATTTAGACTAATTTTTTAAAGTAATTTTGTTTTTTTTTTGCTGTATTGAAAAGGAAAGGATGGAAGAGTTTACTGACCCCCCCACCCACCCACACACCCCAAAAACCCCCACCAAAAAAAGAAAAGAAAAAAAGGAAGGTAGATGAAAGAGTCTTATCAAAAGAAAAAAAAAAGAACGTAGATGAAAGAAGAGTTTTGGGATATATGCGAGATAATTAGATTTGATTGGATTTCCTTGATGATTCTGTTTAGGCTTTAAGATTGAACACATGGTATAGTTTATGTATATTATCCTGAAGATGGCACTTGTTTTTGCTCTTTGAGCAAATTTATGGTGGAACACCTTTTACGCATTTCAACTTGTATCGGCAGGCTAATCTTACTTGAACTTTTGTGAAGTTTGGCACCTATTAGATTTTCACTAAATATATACCTTCTATTTACTGGTATACTGAGTTATTGGTTGGCATATTAACCACAATAATCATAAAAATCATAGTGAAGTAGCAGTAATTAGCATAATAATGGTTATTAGTTGCCTCTTGGTCTAGAATGGTTTTCCTACAAGTGAGTCTTGAATAAAAAATAAAAATAAAAGTCACTTCTGAGAAGTATTTGTATCATGCAATAACTCAATTGAAGTAGGTTCTCTCTCCCCCTATCCCTGCACCATCTCTTCTTCACAAATCCATCTTTTGAATCTCAGGTCAAGACATAGGAGGGAGTGCAAAAGTACCACCAACACCTCCTCCGAGTGGTTTAGCCTCAAATCCATTGCCAACAAATGAGCAACAAAGAAGCCCTGGTGGACATGCAGTTGCACCTGCCATTGCCGGCAAACCATCTGCAGCATCACTCCATGCTGTTTCATACTGGCATTGCGCTATGAGTTCTCTTCTACTTTCATTCGTTGTGTGGTTACCTTATCTGATATAACATATGTAATTATGTGCTTATATGTAAATTCTCATTTCTTCAATCAGATCCTTCTCTCACAGATCATGTATTCTAGTCAATTAATTTCATTGGTTTTGGTCTTTCCTCAGATCTATTACTCTTTCTAGGTCATTTTGGTATCATTTTATTCGTTGGTATTCATTGTGATGATTTCCTCCATGATACATGGGCAGGACAGCGTAGGAACATAAAGTTGTGATTTGAGTTGCTAGAATTCACGACGAGGATCTTTTATAGATCTAATCGATGTAAGTGGCAGGAATTTGAATCTATCATTCCCAACTAGCTAAGTAGTTTTTTTTCTTATAGGAATGCACCTCGTACACAAGTTACACGAGGTGGGAGGACTGGGAAGATCATTGATTTGGATGGTTCTGGTGCCGGTTCCGTTGAACTGAAATATGATGTGAAATGTTGCATATACAGAATTTTGGACCTTACGCTTGTCAAATTAAGTGCTGCTTCTTTCTGCCAAAGACTACAGAGGCAGCTCAAAAGCCTAGCCATCGTACCAAAATAAAACAAACTGATACCTAGATTATTCTGTTTCACTTTCTAGAGAAAACTATTGTCTATTGTAATCATGCTCATTAATCATTATTAACTTGGTCTAACTTGCGCAGCCTTTTGTCTACTTGATATTTGGCCTAAATATTGACCACACTGTGGTTATTGCAGCTTTAATGGAAATGCAAGGACCTTTCTGTTTTCTGGTTGATTTGTGTTAAGTGGCTATCTTTGCTTAGTTTTGAGCTTGTTTTCGCGTGTTCGTTTATTTCGGTATAATCTTTGACGTAGCGAGGGAGCTCTTTTAACCAAAGACTATAAGGATCAAGGATTCCGAAACATGGATGCTTTTGGTTTCTTTCATTTATTCCCCGTTCTCCATTGTGGCTGCATTTGTATAAAAGTGTTTTCGGTCAAAGAAACAAAAAAATATACGCACGCAAAACGCAAAACAGTATATCCAGAAAGACAATTTCATGAGTTGCCTCTTGGGGTTTTGAGAAATTTTTGTTTACGTAAAGGGGCTCGATCAGTAAATATCCTTTCTGTTCTTGGAATCGTGAGGATAAGCTGGGACAATAATCAACAACTGCTGCATGTGGATGGCTTTGTGTCCAAGTGTTGAGCAACATTTGAACTCCTTTGTTAACTTTTTAGTAATATCTTGCTGTTTTCCCTCAACAGTGTTCGCGTCCCCCTTCCATTTGTAAGTATGTTGCATATTTCTAGGGTTGTCGGGTTAGGAGTTTTTGTTTTTCGAAAAGTTTGAAAGAAAAGAATGAATGACCTTTGGTAGAACTAGAAGGTTGCTCTTACTTAGTGCATGGTAGGGGTGGATAATTTGCTCCTAATTAATGCAGAGTGGAGTGAAGATGATTAGGTTACGATTAGGGGTGTACACTTGGTTCGGATTTTATAATTATCAAATCAAGCCAATTGTATTGGGTTATTAAATCTAAGACCAAATCAAACCAATAAAACTCGGGTTTTTCAATCTCGTTTTTTCTCGAATTTTCGAATTTTTTGGTTTTTTTCCAGGTAAAATCTCCGTAGCTCAAAACATATAACTTATACTCAAAATATTTTTTTAATCCTAGTAAAAAACAACTATATAAGTTTTTTTTTCAAGAAAATAATGTAAAATATGAGATGCGTCATGGCATTATTCTAAAATATTCAACAATAAAGACAATAAAATTATGCAATACAAATATTGCTAATTAGAAAGCCATAATAAAAATAAATATAATCTAAAAGTACTAAGTCATGCTAAAACAAGTAGAATAATAAGAGTATTAACTACATGACTAAATGCTAAAGAAAAATAAAGAAATGTTATGCATTTTTATCTACATTATCGTAAAACAAAAAATATTCAATACATTGTTGTTCGTAGTATTGAATTGAATATCTTTTGTTAGCATTAGTATTGATTTGACTTTGGTTTGGACTTTTATTAGCATTATTTAAGTTACTGATATTAATGGCTATAAAACTTATTGGAACATTGAAAAGTTCTAATTCCAACCTTGAAATAATGCCTTAAAAGATAAAATTATGAAAAAGTTTAAGAAATATTTATAAGTTACATCACAATAAGTATATTATATATTAAATATATTTAAAATTTCTATATATATAATGTCGGGTTGGTTTGGTTTCAGTTTGACTTTCTTTAATTAAAACTAAACCAAATCAATTATGGTCGGATTTTTTTTTTCAACATCAAACCAAACTATAGTCGGGTTCTTTTTCCCGATTTGATTCAGATTATCGAGTTGGTGCAATTTATCGATTTGCTTTGTTCAACCCTAGTTACGATTCTAATCTCATTCGCAAAATTTGGTTGGTCTTATCAGTATACACGTCGATTACACATTACACAATGGAATATAGATGTATTGGTGTAAGTTGGGTTTTTCAAGTTTGACTAAGCTTTTACAATTTGTCAGTGTGAATGATTGGACTCAGTTTTTTACGATTCAGATATATTCATTCAAGAAATTAAAAAGCTGTTTTGGAAGAGTCTAAAGTAGATAATTCCTAACGAGTTTGACAAATGACAGTTGAGCAAACTTATAATCAATAGGAAACACCATTATTATCCTGGGGTAGGAGAAGAAATAATTCTACTATTTAGTGCCACATGAAAATGACTTTAGGATAGTGTCGTGGAATGTGGCATTAATGGTGCTAATTTTTCTAACACCACGTACGAGTTACAACCCCTACATGCATTTAAATTCGTATGACTTTTGCCCTATTTGGAAACATACCCCGCTTTACTAATAATTCTATTTTATGTTACAGTCACAACTTTCAAATCTACAACAACAACAAAAACAATCCTGTTGAATGATTAGATAGATTGACAACTATACACAGTTGTATAAGTTAAGTTAGCTGAGTAGTTAGAGGTTAATTAGTTAGTTAAGCTGTTAGTATAAAATGTTCAATGCCTTTCCATTAGCCGGTTAGGTTTGCTCTTCTTCTGCTTATTTCTCAATTTTTAATAGCTTTGAATCTAGATATCATCATGGTATTAGAGCGAGCGTTAATGATCTGCGCTTGACGACTCCTATTTTAGATTCTTCTTTCTCAATTCTCAGCTGATTTACTCATCTAAGCTGTCTGATTATTTCAACTCCCAAAAGCTAGGGTTTGTTCGATTTTGAGAAATCAATATTTTTTGGAGCATTTGCTTGAGCTTGATTTCATTGGCAAGAGAAGAAAACTATGGCGATTAACACTGAAGATAGTGGATCGACTCCAGTTGATGCAACTGTAGCTCTGATAATTGACCAACATCATCCTTTGTTTCTTCAACCCAGTGATACTCCAGGTAGTTCTCTAATTTCAGTTAAGCTTACTAGGGTTTGCAGATGAGAGGTATCCTAAGGAGAAGTTTCCTCCTTGTCACGACCCGGATTTCACATCCTCGAGAGTCGTGATGGCGCCTACTCATGAAAGCTATGCAAGCTGAGTATTATAAATTCATTAACCTTTTTACTTAGCCTTTTTAGTAGTTCAATATAATAGATGATCAACTACGAAAATATTATAATAAACAGAAAATGCGGAAGACGAAAGCTAATAGTTTAACCATATACTAGTGCAGAATCCAACATACAACTCTACCCAGAATTTGGTGTCACAATATCACGGACTATCTACGAATACTACAAACAGTGGTCTGAAAGATAAATACAAAGCTGTCTCTGAAATACATAAAATAAACAGAATAGAAAGATAGAAGGAGACACCAAGGCCTGCGGACGCCTGCAGGACTACCTAGGGTCTCCGCCACTGGACTGAAGGCAGCAACCTCACTGTAGTCCAAAAGCTGCAGCACCAGGATCTGCACAAAGTATAGAGTGTAGAATCAGTACAATCGACCCCATGTGTTGGTAAGTGTCTAGCCTAACCTCAGCGAAGTAGTGACGAGGCTAGGACAAGACTACCAAATAAACCAGTGCAGTATATCATATATAACAAGTAATAATGCCAGAAACTAGCAGACAAAGATGGGAAGGGGGAACATGCTGCGAGGAATATCATGTACAAACAAAATTTTAGTAAAGAAGTGAAAGGAATACGAAAATTCAACTGTAAGCAGGAATAAGGAAATCAATGACAAGTGCAAGACATCACCCTTCGTGCTTTTACCTCACATAATCATGGCACGAAATTATCCTTTGTGCATTTTCACTCATATCATGGCACGACATTGTACATCGTGCGACACAGAATCACCCTTCATGCTTTTACCTTACAATATCGGCACGACATCACCCTTAGTGCATTAACACTCTCTCACAAATATCATGCATGACATCACCCTTCGTGCTTTTACACTCTTCCTTACCCAAGCAACAACCACAAAGCAATACAGGCATGTAAAATCAATAAAATCACAATAGAATCCCGATAAGGGAACAATAACATAACAACAATATCCCGGCCCGGTAAGGGAAAACAATATCATGAGTAATAACATCCCGGCAAGGGAGATAATATCAAAAGTAATAACATCCTGGCAAGGGAGACAATATTATAAACCTCTTCTCTTTCCACAATTACTTCACAACTCAATTCTCAACTTGAGCCAACGCTGTACAATGTTCAATTACCAATAATACTTCCACAATCCTTGTTCAACAATAGAAATCATCATATAAAGCATGAACAGTACGAAACAGAGTCACATTAATCATAGAACAAGACTCACGGGCACGCTTGACACCGATGTATAGATACTCATCACCACACCTATATGTCGTACTCAACAATTAACACATAGCAAATAAGACACAACTCCTACTCCCTCAAGCTAAGGTTAGACCAAACACTTACCTCAATGCCACGAACACAATTCAAGCCTCAACTACTGCTTTAACTCTTGTTTCCACTACCAATTTTCTTGTACCACAATTTACTTAACGATATCAATAAATGCTAGATGAATCAATTTTAATGCATGAAAATAAGTTTTCTAAAGATTTCTCCAAAAAGTCAAAAATCGACCCCGGGCCCACATGGTCAAAACCCGAGGTTTGAACCAAAACTCGATTACCCATTTATCCACGAACTCAAATATATAATTTGTTTTGAAATCGGACCTCAAATCGAGGTCCAAACCGCCAAAATTCGAAAATCCTAAGTTCTACCCAAAACACCCAACTTCCCCCATGAAAACCCTTGATTTTGAATCGAAATCATATAAAAAGATGTTATAGATTGAAGAATATGAGTTAGAAATGACTTACAATCGATTTGGAGAAGAACCTTTCTTTGGAAAATCGCCCAAGAGAGCTCAGGGTTTGAGGGAGTTTGAAAAATGAAGAATTTTTCGTCTAAGTTTGATTTTGCACAGGCGCAGATATCGCATTTGCGATGACATGTTCGCAAATGCGAACTTGGAATTGCAGCCAAAGCTTCGAATTGCGAAGGAAGGCTTGCCTTTGCTTTCTTCGCAAATGCGAACAACTGTTTGTGGCCAATTTCACTTCGTGGCCTATCTAAAACTCACCCGAATCCTCGAGGCTCCAAACCAAATATGCACGCAATTCTAAAAACATCATATGGACTTGCTCGTGTGATCAAATCA